ATTAGCATTTTAAGTATTAAAGATAACGAAAATCTATATTTATTGATATATAAAAGAAATAATATAAAACAAAAAGATTTCATTATTATATGATTATATTATAAAAAGAAATAAAAGTTTTATAAAAATAATAAGAATACATCAATGTCAACTATAGCCAATGTCCAAAAATATTTCGTTCCTGTCATACAAAATGGCGTCAGCATTAAAAAACAATCATTTATTTAGCAATACTTTTTATTACTTGATCGATTACAGAAATAATAATATTGCCTACTTCAATGATTTTGTATTTGAAGCATTTGGTTTTTGCCAACATATAATTCTTATTTTGATCAAAATTTATTTATAATTTCATGAAGTGATAAATGTAATAAGCCCTTATGTATAATATTATTAATTAGCAGGGTAAAACTTATATACGAAAAAAGACTTGGTCAAGGGCTATGTTTAAAATTCTTGTTAAAAAAATAATTACTATGTAACGGAGATGTAGAAAGTAAATAATCTTTTATTATAAACTTACACAAAAAATCATCATTGTATACTAGTTTCATTTAAATGAATAAACGCAACTAAACTTGAAGCTACTTAGACGTTGGAACAAAGAAAGCTTGGGGAAGGGGTTGAAATGTCGTTTCACTGATACAACTCGGCCTGTGAGACCGCTTGTCACCAGTTAAGGGTTAATATAAAACTAATATTTTTCGGATATACTACGCGTATTTTATTATTTTAACTACATTCTCCCGACATTATGGTTACTTTTCAGCAACCGTGATCATTAAGACGAGATGTAGTCGAAAACTCGAAACGTCGGGAGTATATCGGTTTTTCACAAAAAAAACCGCGTAATATATCGTAGTATATTCGAAAAATATTAGTTTCATTTAAATGAACAATCGCGAAAATCTCATTATTATTTAACACTTAAAGTCGTAATAAATATCGATACACTTATCCAACACCAAATATACATTGAATTTGTAAAAACAGCTACGATTAATGAATGAAATATGTATTGTAAAAATATGTAAACTCATCAATTCAAGGTTACAATTCAAAAATATTCACCAATTATTATTATTAGCGCCTCTTTAGCAAGCTTAAAGAACAATTAAAGGGTGTGGAACCTTGGCTTTTAAGGTTTGTTTATAATTAGTATTAATTATATGATGTCATTTTAATTTTCATCCTATCAGAGCCCACTGCTGAGCCTCTTCTCACGTGGAGAAGGTTTGAGCATTAATCACCACGCTTGTTAGACGGGTTGGTGATTTCAAACTTATAATTGTGATATAAGTCCATGTTTCTTCACGATGTTTTCCTTCATCTGTCAGTGATGTCTAAATACTCTTAAAGTACATATGACTCGGAAAAATCACATTTGTACTTGCCAGCATCGAACCCGCGCCCTCATGCATGAGACTCGGGCCCTCTAACCACTAGGCAACCACTGATTTATTTATTTTATGTCATTTAGACTTTATATTTATATTTTATATGTACTGTTCTGATATTTTACATAATATTATTATATTCTTTAATTTATTTATTGTGTAAAATAATTTATCAATTTAAATAAATGTCAATGTCAAACTGTAGTAAGTAATTAGGTCTTAAATAATTATTTTATTCAAATTTCCTTTTGTTCTTACCTCTGTATACGATTTTAAATATTCTTCTTAAGGAAAAGAAGGGAATGATCTAGATTATAACTTCAAAACTACCTTTAACAGGAATTTTCATATCAAAATTAGTTCTTTGATTTATAATTCGGGATCTTGCTTACATATGTATAGTATATACATATATTAAAAGATTTATTACTGAAAACTTTAAAATAGTAAGATTTTGGTTTCCTACGAAAAGTCGTGGTTGGAAACTATTTCTCAAATCATGGAAATGTTTGTTATAAAAGTTAAAATTTCACAGCGATTTTATATATATGAAAATATTTTCCAAAAATCGCATTTAATATTTAAATACTTCTCTGGTTTTTTATCTGTTCCAACTAGTTCGTAATTTCGATATTATTTAGAAATTAAATTTCCAAATAATGAAAATACAAATATTTACCAGATAATGTTTTTGTAGATATTTAAATAAACTTAAAAATATATATGATTACAGATGCTTTCTGAATTAGTGTGTCGAATGTAAAAATGGGGATATTTATCCAGCCCTTGGGATTTAAAGAAGTAGGTCGAGGGTAAAGCGAACTCCTTGTTACTAGTAAATGTCACTTTACTTAAATATAGTGGACCATAAAACTGAAAACACAACTACCATTACGTTTTATCCCTACTAATATTATAAATGCGAAAGTAACTCTGTCTGTCTGTCTGTTACGCTTTCATTCCTAAACCATTAAACTGATTTTAATGAAATTTGGTACAGAGATAGAGTTGACCTTGAGAAAGAACATAGGATAGTTTTTATCCCAGACTTTTGAAAGGTTCTCTTGGAAACGCGATATAACCGAACTCCACGCGGACTAAGCTGCGGGCGGAAAGCTAGTTAAAAATAAAAATAAGACATAACTAAACTGATTATATAACTAATATTTTTACTCTTTTTTAAAAATCATTTTATCCATTACTAACTTAGCTGTATAATAAATATTGTAGTTACTATTCTAAGCTAAGAAAAAATATTTTGACACTACCATTTTGTGTCAAAACAATGTAGCATTCTTTATGTATATATTACCATATTTCTCGCATGTAAATTGTCAGACATATTTCATTGTACTAAAACATTAACACGCAAATTCTCGATTAAAAGATTTCCCGAAAAGTTTACTTCATTGTAATAAATTTCGCATTTTAATATTATTATTATTTTTCGATTTTTTTTAATCAACAATTTCATTTTCTACCCTTAAAGGTGTTTTGCCTTTTTATTATTTAATACTTATAAGTTATAATAAACTGTATATTTTGACTTTTAACTAAACGTGTTCAACCATCTGATGAAACAGAAACAAATTATTGCATCGTACTTTTAAAATGTTAGTACATTTAAGTATTTTTTTAATCTCTCATTTATTATTGTATTACAAAATTTTCAAGTAAATAAAGTTTAAAAGAGAATCTATAATAATTTTGGTAATTAATTATTTTATTTATAGAATATTTCAAATAAAATATTAAAATTGAATAACCCAGCAATCATAGATAATGTAATTTCGTATAATTCAATTGTCATTGTCTAACCTATAGTCTGAGTAATGTGTCGTATGTAGTAGGTAGATAATTACTTTTAATTCGTCTTGATTCGATGACTTCACAATTCACATATTTTAACTACCTGTTGTTACCTAAAATATACTTTCAATAAAACATAGAATAATTATTTTTTTTCGTTTTTTTATATAAATGTCAAATTTGAATAAAACCTTTTTTTCACAATATCAATTGTTATGTCAAAGATGATATATTTTCGTCAATTTATGAATGCTCTTAATATTATCAAAGAGCAACAAGCCTGTCGTATACAACCATAATTTTATAAACCTGTTTATCTTGTTTTTTGTGTTCTGACATAAAAAGTACAGTGACTATTTATAACAACTAAATCAATGAGCGACTTTAACTTTTATAAATATTTAAGTACAAACTTTTTGTTTGTAAATAAAAAAGTGATGTTACAATAATGTATGTTATAATTTAACATATAAAACAAATTAGTTATTAATAAGGTTAAGGCCAGAATTAATTAATAAGTCTGGATTATGTGGTGGCGAGCGAACTGTTATATCGATTACGTGTAAAACATACGATAAACTTATATTGTTCATGTTATTTTTATAAAAAGAAAGTATAAAAAATCTTATTATATTATGTATTACACTTTCGACAAAGTTGCAATAATAAAATCATTATTATGTAAATGTATATTTTTTTTACTATTAAAAAGCGTAAAGGAATGTTAGATAAGTTAGAAATTAAAAGTGAAATATGAGTTGAAAACAATTGTTAGTAAATATTTTTATAGTTTGATAATAAACTTTTGCGTTTATCGTAGATATTTTTAATTACATATGTTTTCAGTTCAAATTTCAATACATATATACAAAAACAAATAGTTTTACTTTCTTTCGCTAACTGAATGTATGTTATTAAATATTTTTATTTATTTTATTACCAAAAACAAAAATGTTCATACAAAACGAACTTACCGTAAAAGTTAAAGCATTTGTCGTCTGAATGTTTGCAATACAAGACTCAAGGAACGTGTAGACGGATATTTGTAGACAATGTACTATTAGTTGCGTTTAATCAAAAACATCACAATAACACAAAGTCATGGGATCGATAAACCGACGAGCCGAGATGCCCTCCCTGCTAGAGTCACTGCCGCACTGAGTTAGATTGTTGAGTTTGTGAGGTTGGAGAGTGCGCAATGTAGGTAAACATTTTACCATAGCATATAAAACCATATTGGAATAAAATATTACGTAAAACCATTTAAATAGCTATGTGTATATACTTTATGTTTATTTACAATTACTCACTGATATCTATCAGTCAAGATATGAATATAATAATATACTATTGTATGATATCTTATAAGGAATTATTTAAAGTATGGTATAATTATCAATTAAATCAAATTTCTTATAGGAAAAAATATTATAAGGAACTTAACACATTAATTTTTTTATTACAAGATTTTAATTTAGATGTTACTAAGAATTACTTTCTTCATAAAGAACTCATGAAATAGGAAGAAAATTGTCAAACAATAATAAGATAATAAAGATACAAAATAGTGCAAAACTGATACTTTTACTTTTGTACTTTATTTTTTTATATATTGTATAATCCAATTTTATTTACGACTACAAGTCGCAGTTTCTAAACTCACAACAACAAACGTCAAAGTTCACAAATGTCAGATCTTGTTTGGCAAATTGGCGGTTGTTTCATACACAAGATGTGTCAACTTTTCTGTTAGAATAAACTTGTGCTGAATTTTCTTATTATATTTACATTATGGCTGAAAAACTCGAGGATCTCAACCTCCCACTTACTGTGGTTACTAGAATTGTCAAAGAAGCCTTGCCTGACGGTGTAGCGATATCAAAAGAAGCTAGAACCGGTCTCGCTAAAGCCGCTTCGGTTTTCGTTTTATATGTAACCTCAGCAGCTACGAATATAGTGAAAAACAACAAAAGAAAAGCGTTAACTGGCCAGGACGTGTTGGAAGCGATGGCTGACATAGAATTCGATCGATTTGTTGAACCATTGAAAGATGCGTTAGAACAATACAAACAAGTGGCGTTTGCGAAAAAACAAGCTTCAGGAAAGAAAAAGGATGAAACTGAAGATGTGGAAATGGCTGAAGATGAATAATATTAAATACTAAGACTTGAAAGTGATGTTAAGTGGTTTTATACATAAGTTATTTGTTTATTGTATGAAATAAAGGACCATTTTTTAATAATTCGTTCTGTTTTTAAGTAAATAAAACATCGATATTTTTTCATTTACTTTATTCAGGAATAAAATTTGTAAGATCTCGAACATCAACTCACCACCACTACATTACCATCAATATATACATTCCAAGAATTCCGAATCTATGTAGTTTCATTAACGAAAATATACTCATATCTCAAATTACCACAAAAACACCTTACATATAAGATTACTATTTAATTCTTTTAACATTATTAAGAGGGAACTAAATTCTATGAAATCTTTAAATTCTATGTAAATACTACAAAGATAAATTAACACGACTTAAAGACGAAGCTCAAAATTTTATTTTGCATTTAATGCTTGAACATTCAATTTTAATCATATTGTTAATATCTTGAACATGTCGATGTTGTTCAACACACATGTAAGGAGTCGTGTCATCCGTTCGCATCTACAATATTTTGGTGTTTCATTTTCTTATAAACTATAAATTCAAAAACTATATCTAGTTCTAATCTCACGAGCTACATCTCTGACTAATCTATCACTGATTCAGTACAGCCATTCTCAGTCCTTTTGCCGACTTTATATTTTGGCAAATCTTCAAGAGACAAGATGAAAATAGAAAATTAATACATAGAGTCCTTTGATGGTATTAAACAAAATCCCAAAAAAACGTAAATGAAAATGCTAAAGAGAACGATCACGTAAATAATTAAATAAAATTTATAAAGCAATGACAGGAAATAAAAAAAATTAAAATAGAAAATAAAAGTTTATTTCAGGAGTTTAAATAAATGGGATTATTTAGTGTTACAGTTCATTAAAAATAAATAAAATGTATATTAGGTCCCAATACAATATGGGGTAACATGTCTGGAATATATATAAAACATTTCTGACTTTCTAGAAACATCTTTAAATTTTTGTTATGCAAAATATTATTCTTAAATAGAAAAACATTGGAAAGGTGGAATTAATCTATTTCATTTCATATTTGGGATTTCAAAAATATGTAAAAAAAAAGTTAAAGCAAACAACAGATTAAAAATAAATAAACAGTCCATTTTCACTCAGAAATGAGGTTCGCTATAAAAATTAATTATAACAAAATTAAACTAATCTATTGATATATTACAATTCGCTAAAACTAAATTGGAATAATTGCAATTATTTACAAAAAAATTAATAAAATAATACATAAAGCAAGCTTTATTAATAATCTATAATGTCTTTTTTACCAATTTGAACTTTATAAATATTATATATGTATGTATACATTTCATTAGTTAATTAAATCCTGACTAAACCGTCGTGATATTTCATTGTTTGTGCTTTTCATTATAAATAGAAGCGGCATTTTATATTATGTTAAAGTTTATCAGCAAAACATTATTAATGTATTTGTTTTAATCTACAGACTTATCTAGATGGTCACGAATACTATATTTATTGCTTCAAACATCCACGGAATGGATTTCAATAAAATGGCAGTGCTCGGGTCTAAGATGTGAATAACATCGATTCTATATAAATGAATATTTATTTAATATATTATAATATTCGATTTTTTCTCACTGGTTAAGCTGCAAACTATAATCTATTGTCAAATCACTGCTAACCAGATAACCAAATCAATTTACAGTTCGGTTACTGCATTAATTACAACTTTATCAAAAGTAAAGTTACATGAACCTTTTATATTGAGACTGGTTTATCTGTGGTTGCAACCCAGAGTATCACTTATAGTAAGAATCACTTACTATAATAACCATAAAGACATTATATTTAATATGAAGCCTCGTGGCCGGCCAGGATGTATAAATCATTTCCATCTTCACCCGATAGTGTGTTGTTCTGCAATAAATGTGACTCCAGAACAACAACTCTGAAAGGAAATAATACAAATTATTATGTATAATACTAAAAAGTAGGGGTTGGTGGTAAAAAAGTAAAAATGTAGGTTTTTATGAATTTTTAATGCCACATTATAAAAAAAACCAATAATAAAAAATTTCGTCCAAAAATTTGAATTTAAGGCTAAACAACCCTTATCATTCATATATAAAAAATATATAGTAGCCAATTCTCAGACTTACTGAATGAAATTTGGTAAAGAAACATGTTTATCACATTGTGACATGGAAATTTTATGTATTAGATATATAATTGTTATTGTTGGTATATACATTTATGTATGTGTGTATGTATGTATGTTACATACTTATCATGTCCCAGCAGTCGGTATGCTCTGGAAGCATCTGTTATCTCCTGGGTGACCTCGTTGCTCCTCAGAGACCGACCCTGGACTCCATGACGATGGAAGGCCAGCACGGAGTCAGCCAAACACACTGACAATATAATATATTATAGAATTGAAATTTATATCCCTACTAATATTATAAATGCGAAAGTAACTCTGTCTGTCTGTCTGTTACGCTTCCACGTGACCACTGAACTGATTTTAATGAAATATGGTACAGAGATACAGTTGACCTTGAGAAAGAACAGGATAGTTTTTATCCCAGACTTTTGAAAGGTTATCTTGGAAACGCGATATAATAAAACTCCACGCGGGCGAAGCTGCGGGATGAAAGCTAGTATTTTATATATGGAGATGTAGAAGAAAATGTCACAATAATAGTAAGGTAAAATTTACTACATGTTTTTGAAATCTATACTGCATGTTTTCTTTTTAAATTTAGAACATTTAAAAACAATTTTTAACAAAATATAAAACGAAAAATTCATCCAATTCATCATATAGCATTACAGTTAGAATACTAACTGAACTATCGTGTCTTGTTTTGACTCAGCGTATTAATCATTATAAAGTTTTCTAACTTGTCAGTTGTCACTACAGAAGAATCATTGTTTTGTCTTAAAGCTACCACTTATATTAAATTCGTATAACTACGTTAATTTATTATTATATATAATATATATTATAATAACTCACATATACTATCAATATTAAAGTCGAACTGTATTCTCGACAGTAATTTATTTCTTCGTCTCTCGAACGGCAACACTGGTATTATGTCAACGACGTTCTCGTGACATACAAGTACCTGACATATGAAAATACAAATAAATATTATTGCATTAATGATTAATATTTGTAAATGTATAAACAAACAGAAAACATGCAAAGTTAATTGACTTTGAAATAAAAACCTTATAAGAAAAAAGATCATACTTTTTGTATTTGTTATAATAAAAGTGACGATTACATTGCATACATTTTTGAAGTAAAACTTCCAATGCATTCCAACAAGGTAGCGTTAAACTTTCAACGCTGTTGAAAGGGGAATGGAAAGGGACGGAGAGAGTAAATAGGTCAATTTGAAATGTAAGCATATATATATTGTGTCAGAACAATTATATATGAAATTTAAGTTTATATTAACACAAAAAAATCGAATAATCGACATTCTTTTGTTTCAAAATGATTGTTTATTTAAATATTTTGGAATTTCAGAAAATATTTTATATAAAATCTTTTTTATACAGTAAATAGTTTTTAAGTTAAGTCTTTTATGTGATATACATAGAAATTGTTCATGTATATATGTATATATATATATATATATATATATATATATATATATGTATTCCACTTTGATTGCTCTGCTTATAGTAATAACTCACCGAATCTTTATTAAGTTGTCTTACAGCCCTCAATGTGTGAAGTCGTTCAGGTCTCGGTACAACAGTGTTTGATCCACCTGGTAGTAATGCCAACTCCTCGGAATTGAACCAACTCGCACCTTTGTGTTAATATATATGATATTAATAAACATTTATGATTCATTAGTATATTAATGTTAGTAAATTACATTGTATGTTTGATAATTATCAAATAATATATTTTTTTTGATATTAAATGCCTCAAACATAAAATATTTAATCAAGAATTTTGTTTTTCACTATTGTAGTTTAATCATAATGTCTAAATGTAACATATCGTCTTGTATAGTACAAATATCCGTAACTAGCATTGTAAGTAGATTATCAGAAGAAAGTTTGAGCTGAAATATTTTCTATATTAATGACTTTTAATTAAATTTTTTCACAAAAAGTAATTATTTAGTGTTTAATTTATTACTAGATACGTGGAATTATCCAATGCTAGTTACCCGGTTATAATACCAGTGTAAACATATTTTGAATGGAAATTTACTATGTACTTTTTGATCAAATACAGAACACTTTATTTTGAAGTTGGTTAATACTAATTCTCACCAGAGTTTATATTAATCAGATTCAGCCTGAGAGGTTTCCTTGTAACTCCCACACAGAGCAGAGGATATTCCAACTCGGGAGTAATGATCAATTCAAAGGCGAGCAACGGTGAGGGTAGAACACATTCTATATTCTGAAATATATTGAAAATATTATAAAACTGATCTATGGAATAGAAAAAGTTTAAGTAACTGGTGTTATAATAAATTCAAACACATTTTAATGAGATTATTAGCCTTATAATAGGGAAAATGTTTTTACATTTGTATTAAAATATTATTCTTAGTATTTTTAGGTCAATTTTCATATAAATTTGGTAAATCTATAAAATTTTACCAAATTACTCACTAAGAGAAGAAAATAATAACACTTATTATTAAATCTTCATTTGTATCAATGATATAGCCAATACATCTTACTTAAACAATCCAATCCCCATTTCAACTACATATATACCAGAATTATATTGATCTTTAATACACCTGGTGACCTGGAGGTTTTGGTGTATTAAGACACCACAACAGTGACCGATACACCAGCATCGTACACTTACCTTGAGCAACATGAACTTCCTGAGTGGATCATACCACTGCATCAGAAATAGACCTGCCGGGGTCGCGCCGCATAGATACTTGTACCCGTTGTATGGACTGCGAGCGACCGCGCAACGAGTACAACCTGTAGAGAAGAATCTTTATATATGCAGGGTGACTGGTGAATTACTGTCGATATTTGAGGACGTGATATTTGACGATCATATATGACAAAATAAAAATTAATATAACATAAATATTAATAAACTTCTAAGTAAAGTTAACCAAAAGTTATGTAATTAATTACGCATCGTATGAACACCCTACAGATTAGGTATACATACACACTCACACACGCGCGTGCGGCGGCGTGGTGTTGTATCAGCATGCCGCCGCACGCGTCCACACTTGGAACACTTGGAACGTGTCCACACTTTATTTATTTATACGGAAATTTGGTCAAAAATTAAGTACCTATTTTTTTACATAATTCGAATGAGAATCATGTACCGAGTATTCTCCTTAAATATTGATAGTAATTCACCAGTCACCCTGTATATGTATATATATATACTAGCAGCCAGTCCCGGCTTCGCACGGGTAGACATAAATAAATACAGATATTTAAATTAAAATAGCCATGTTAATTAGACATTTTATGGATAATTTTTTTACACCTTCGGTTGGTTCAAAGATTTCTATAGTAATCTAGTACTTAACATAGCTTTGGATTTGGTTAAGATAGTAGTGTCACCAAATAATATTGATAGTTTTACTTATAGTGTCATTATTCATCGTGTAGTGTCACCATTCATAATGTAGTGTCATTAATTAAAGTGTTGTCGATTTAACGTGTATTGATCCTATTAACAATGTATGAATGGAGATATTTCTTTGGAATTAAAAGTTACTTATATAGCAAGTACATATCATTGAACTATTGAACATTATCTACAGGTATTAATTTATAAATTTTACCTCTTGTGTCAGGTACTCTAGTTGTTGGTGCGAATCTTCGTGGTAATAATCTTGATGGCACCACTCGAAGTGACCTCGCCCCACTTCTACCGCCTCTACCACTGCCTGATAGTGAGAGTAACTCGTGTCGATAGAGGGAAGGAGTTTTACCTGAAGATGAGATAATATATACAAATATTATTAAAATACTAATATTATAAGCATATTATACATATATTTATATATAAGATTATGAAAAATTATTTTGTATAATCCCAACCAGCAATGATATAAATGAATTTGACTTGGTTTATGCTTAAAATAATATATTTTTCAAAGCAACTAGCAACGACATCTACTATCTATTATGACTACAATTTACAATCTATAGCATGTAAATCAAACTAATATTTTTTGGATATACTACGCAACTTTATTTTTGATAAAAACTATATACCTACTCCTGACAATTGAGTTACTTTACAGCAAGCGTTTACCTAACCCTTCATATACATATTCTAATCCATGAACTATATAATTATACAATTTTATAAAAATTCATTCAGTAGTTTCTATGTTAAAGAGTAACATACATATATATATGTATATAATAGGTTGGGGAAAAAGAAATCCATTATTTTTTCGGTAGATGGCTGTAGTGATCGATATCTCGTAAATTATCGATCAAACAATTTCAAATTTATGCTCGTTGTAAAGGTAACAGTTCGCACTAAAAGAATTCGTTTGCAGTTTTTTGTTTTGTCCATTCAGTTCTGAGTTACACGGCGTTAAAGATGGAAGTCAACAAAGAGAAAATTCGGTACATTTTACAGTTTTTCTTTGATAAGGGCGAAAATGCAAGTCAGGCGGCTGAAAATGTGAATAGTGTTTATGGTCCCGATACTGTAACAGCTAATTACGCGCAATTTTGGTTTCGTCGATTCCGTTCGGGTATTTTTGACGTTAAGGATGCCCCTCGCACAGGCAGGCCCGTCGTCGAAAATGTCGACAAAGTCACTGATATCATCGAAGTGGACCGACATTTTAGTAGTCGTAGCATCGCCCAGGAGTTAAAGATCGACCACTAAACAGTTTTAAACCATTTGCACAAAGCTGGGTTTTAAAAAAAGCTTGATGTTTGGGTGCCACACCAATTAACACCAAAAAACATGATGGATCGAATTTCCATCTGCGAAGCCTTGGCCAAACGTAATGAAATCGACCCATTTCTTAAACGGATGGTGACTGGGGATGAGAAATGGGTCACATACGACAACATTATGCGAAAGCGATCGTGGTCAAAGCGCGGTGAAGCAGCTCACACGGTGGCCAAACCGGGACTAACGGCCAGGAAGGTTCTGCTTTGCGTTTGGTGGGATTGGAAAGGAATCATTTATTACGAGTTGCTTCCATATGGCCAAACATTAAATTCAGACATCTATTGTTAACAACTGGACCGTCTGAAGCGAGCAATTGACCAGAAACGGCCAGAATTGGCCAACAGAAGAGGTGTCGTGTTCCATCAGGACAACGCCAGGCCACACACTTCTATAGTGACTCGTCAGAAACTCCAGGAGCTTGGTTGGGAAGTTTTGATGCATCCACCATACAGTCCGGACCTCGCACCAAGCGATAACCATCTTTTTCTTGCATTGTAAAACTTTTTTAGTGATAAGAAATTGGCATCAAGGGAAGAGTGTGAAAATCAATTGCTGGAGTTTTTCGCTAATAAGGACCAAGACTTTTATGAGAGAGGCATAATGAAGCTACCATTAAAATGGCAACAAATTATAGAACAAAATGGTGCATATTTGACCTAAATCGGACAATGCAAAACATGTTAAATAAAGTCTTGAAGTTCACGTAAAAATAATGGATTTCTTTTTCTCCAACCTTATATTAAGAGGGTTTATAATTGATTTATTTATACTATAATTCATACCAGAGAGTGACATGAGAACATCTTTAATGACATGCATCCATATAGTTCTTCTCGGACACAATTGATCCATAGCTGTCTCATGAAGCTCATTGAGGTTTAATGTGTAGATACCTTCTTCAGCACCTGTAATTAAATATATTAATTTCTTACATCATATATATTCTTGGAGGTAGTTTAAGACTTGATTTTTAATGTTCAGCGTTACTTCCAGTAATGTGTTACAAAATAACTGAAGCCAGTATTTATAGTTTACAAGTTGATATTTATACTTATGGTTGTCATTACAATGGTTTAGTGTTATAATTAATTACAATCAGTCATTATAATAATTGTAAGGATTATAGTGTATTATAGTTAATATGGCACATAGGCTGCAATTTGTAATAATATATGTTTATATACATATATGTTTATTATATAATACAAACCTATAAGTATATGTTGATCCCTCGTATCCGGATGAATCCATGATGCTGTGCAGTTTATCCTCAACGGACAACCGTTGAACACCTTGAATATAAAATTTATTGTTAGCCGTTAGGAATTTATTATATAACAAATAATAGATTCCTCATATCACAACAAGATAGTGTTGAATTGATTAATATAATATATTGGTATACATATATATGTATATGTATATAGAGTAATTAAATATTTATAAAAGTAAATTTCATTCTTAAATGATAGTTAATATTTCTATATATAAATAGTTTATGGCCTACAACATCTTTATATACTTCGAGTCTTACTTCAATTGCCATAAATAAAAATAAACAACTCTTTTAATCTTCTTATACCTGGCAATTTCCCAGCTTTATCCAGGGTCTGCCTTACATGTTGTGAATAGTTTTGGCTAATTGTTTTTACGACCGGTCGCCTCCCTGACATCAACCCTCTTTGGGAATGCATTAATCAGTGATGTCTAAATACTCTTAGAAGGTACATATGACTCGGAAAAATCACATTGGTACTTGCCAGGATCGAACCCGCGCCCTCATGTGCATGAGAGGAGGGCCTTTTAACCACAACGACACCACTGACTCACAAAAATATTTCAATCTATAAATTAGAGAGCAATGGTGTAATTTTATGTGAATACATTAATTTATAATTAAATCTGATATATTAAGAAATAAATAACACATACTACATCCTAATGATGAAAACCTGCCACGTCTGAAATAATCATTATACATGTATATTGAAAACAGTGATATGTATCTCATAAAATCCAATTCGTGTATAGAAATTGCTATATCAACCGTGAGACTTTAATTAATCGTTTTATTGTTATGGGATTCTTTTTCAATCCTATATTTATCATTCATTCGTTAACTAGCAACTCTTTTAATATATCCCTTAAATATTTAACTATATTACATTACATTTCACATGTGTGTAACTTTAGTCAGTGGTGGCCTAGTGGTTAAAAGGCCCGTCTCTCATGCACGAGGGCGCAGGTTCGATCCTGGCTAGTACCAATGTGATTTTTCCGAGTCATATGTACTTTCTAAGAGTATTTAGACATCACTGATTAATGCATTCCCAAAGAGGGTTGATGTCAGGCAGGCGGCCGGTCGTAAAAACAAATAGCCAAAACTATTCACAACATGTAAGGCAGACCCTGGCTGAAGCTGGGAAATTGCCAGGTAGAAGATGTGTGTAACTAACCTTAGAGAAGCATGCTCCCATATGGACCTTAGGCGTGGGAGGGAGTCCATTTGGCGCGGGTCTTGGAGGTGTTCTAGTACGACGAGCTCTAGACCTCCGAGGAGGTACGGGCGGAGTTGACGATGCTGGAGGGAATAATCCTACTAATATTATAATTGCGAAAGTTTGTGAGTATATGTGTGTTTGTTACTCCTTCACGCTTGAACGAATGAACGGATTTTGATAAGATTTTGTATATAGCAAGCTGATATCCAGGAATAACACATAGGGTAGTTTACTAACCGGAAATTAGAGGATAACACCGCGGGACGCAGCTAGTATAGTATATAATGATTCATGATTCAATAATTACTATAAGATTGGCTATGAGAAATATTAGATGTTTTTATGTTGAAGATAAAACTGATATATTATTTTTTGGAAATGTTTTTACGGCTCTGGATATGAGTAATTTTGAGCCTTATCGTTGCAAACAAAAATGATGCGATGGAAATTGTTTCCAGGTTTTAACTATTATGATTTTGCTGAAATATAATAATATATTTAAAGTTTATGATAAAATATACTTTACAGTTTTGCTATTCAATAACATATGATGAACATTTACAAGAATATTAATGTTGTTGTGACGTCATATTATAATGTATTACTTAACCATTGATAGGTACAGAAAGTTACCTTTTGATTTAGATAGTTATCATTATAATTTTTAATGTCACTACAAGGTAACACTCACCATCGTTTTCCACTTTAGCCTTATCTCTCTGACTGTCAGACAGACTTCTTTGTCTCTGGCCAGTTTTAACTTCCTCATCCGCTACTTCCGCTTCCCTTCCGTTCTCGTCCACCATTTTGAATATCTCATCTACTGAAGACGTTTTTCTCTTGGTGTTATTTTCTAGTTCACATTGACAGAACTGACTCAAGTCTATGCCGGCCGCGGCTGAATCTGAATGATGTCTGTTATGCCTCTTTCTGTGTTCGTATTTATCATCCATATTGAGACTCATATCTATCTTTCTGCATAAATCATCATCCGATGTTTCTCCGTTTTCTATTTTCGTTGAATCGGATATCCTCAATCGGTTAGCTATTTGCAGTGCTCGGAAGTTAGATACTGATATTTTCTGCTTCTTGCACACATCACAGTACACTATACCAGAATCTGTGTTCTGGTTTGAGCAATGTTTGTAATAACTTAGTATATCCCCGTTTGAATTGCACGCGTCGCATGCGCATTTCGATGCTACCGACCTCTGTAGATCACTTAACGTATTATTCTCTCTAGTTTCCGGTTTAGGACATAAACCGCATTCACAATTCGCGTTTCTGAACTGCGAATGATTTGAATCGTCCTGTTGATCTACGTATAGTATGTCAGCGTCGTGTTTCCTCATTAATGGATCATCTATAGATATAGATGAGTTGCCGATAGGTGATTGGAAGTTAGATGCGATGCTCTGGTAGACGTTGGTCGTTGAATTGTTTAGGAAATTCTGTTTTAACTGTATACATTGCGAGAGATGTTGGTCGTGTATAGATAGACCTGAATTTGCCTGTGCTATAGACGCATTTTCAGCGGTGAGAGGTAATGTAGCCCTGTTAAGGTAAAAAATAATATAACATCTATATATGTATATTTATAATTTGTTTTATTAAGCTGAATGCCGGGTTATATGTTTTAAGCAAGGTTTAGTGCTGTTAGACACAAAAAATAAATTGATATTTTCAAATTTCAACAATTTTAAATAACAAGTGGTGCTTTGGGATATTGTAATAGTGATGGGGAATCGTTTGTGTTTTAATTTGACACATATTAAATGGCAGAAAACTTACGTCTAAACAGGAATAATTTAAATATCATGCTCCAAAACACCCGAAAAATCAAACCACAACCAAAATAAACATATACTGCCATGCATAATTTATGAAGGGTAACAAATATAGTGATTTCTAAATACTTAAAAACTAAATATATATGGAACAATAAACGATTATATAACACATATATTAATTTTGTAAGTAAACCAATAAAGCTCACAGAGCGAAGAAAATTTCGACACACCAAAATATGCTTTATGACCACGCGTTAAGGTTCATTGTCTGTTTATTATTCCTTTAAACATAAAACATGCATACATAATTTTACCTGAGCATTAATTCTTCGTCAATATATTGCAAGAGGCTCCTAGAACAAGAGAAATGCAATACAAAAACATCCTTATTTGTATCATGAATACGGTTCATTAATGAATGTTCAACATTGAACCTGTGAAGTCATACTTATGACAAACTAAAAAAATCTTTATATAAGTAAAGCCATCGTTTGTCTTGTACTTGGCTTTAAACACTATGACAAATAAACTAAAGAATTCTCAAATATTTTCCTCATGCATTTATATTTTGTAAGGAATCTCATGATCCTTTTTACAAAATTTTTATTATTTAAAATTACTACCTATAAAAGGACCTAGTTAGTTATAAAACGTGTAATAACCGTCATAAACATAGAAATACAAATTAATAATAGATATTATTTTGTATAGATCATATATGTCTGTATGATAAGCCATACAACACAAAAAAAATCCATGCAAGAACTTTTAAACCGTGTTCTCTACACAATGTGCACACTCCACATCGCCATACACAATAAAGAAATAACTGCAAAATCAAAAATCAACCGAAAACAATAAAAAACGAAGATATAGGAAAGAAAAATAAAAAAATCAAGGTCAGAGATAAATGAGAATATAAATAGGGAAGAAATAAATCAAGATTAGTAAACGAAATGAAAATAATTGCAATTATTTCTCAAAAGCCTAAAAAGAAAACCTAGTTCTAACCGTCGACACACCAAAAACAAACACCAAACCTTCAGAAACCTGTTAGAATAAACCGCAACCGGTTAAAAAAAATGAAAAAATGTTTTGTTTGCAATAACCTAATATACCTCAAGGTCATTCTCAATATATCGTCACCAGTGAGGACCCGACACCACTTGCTATAACATAAATGTATATATATAAGATATATAGAGGGGCCACTCAATATGTATATGTATATATAATATATATGGATTATACAGGAAGTGAAAAAAGAAAATTAGGGTAGGTCACTCAAACAGGAAAAAAATTGATAAAGAATTTGAGGGTAGGTTATAAAGTAGGATCAATTTGATAAATATATAGGGTAGGTCTTTAAAGTAGGAATCAATTTGGAAAGGAAAAGTATACAATACAATTTTCATATGTAATTTCAAGGGATTATTCTTATATGATATTTCATTGAAATATTTTATTTATACATACTTCTCGCTGGTAGGCATTGAGTCTGTTGTGAGGTCTTGTGACAGCGGGTTGTGTTTGGGGCAACTCATGATAGAGGCTACGCTCCAGTCTTCGCTCGTCTGTCTGTGGTAACCTGGAATATGATTAATGACAATGTATTTATACTTTTAATTATAGTCTCCTTGTGTATATATACAAGGTTTAAATGATTATTTGTCTAAATTGATATGATTGTTCATTTAAAGGAACATAAATCGTTTTTGACTGATGAAATCAAATGAAAATTTAAAAAATATTTGCTTAATCAAAATCGCCAAAGCATCAGAAATAACACAATATCATGTGATATATACAAACGAGAATCTTTTTTAATGAAACGCCCTGTATATATTAGACCAGTATTGTAATTAGTATCAATCTTATAACACTCTCTATCTCTGTGTATCTCTGTATATCTCTATATATCTCACCGGTCCTCCTCACAGTTCCTCCGTCCTCCCTATCCACCAATTCATCCACAGGGTCTAGTTCAACTATTGGTGACTCATCATAAACTCCTGAACGACGTTCTTCGGATGTTCTGTAATAAGAAATAAAACACTTAGTTATCTACAATAGTATTAAATACTAGATGTTAGGCTTAAAATATTATGTATATGTAATAACGAAACCATATTTCACTTATATTAAAGTTTTTTTATGTCAAAGGTGGCAAATGAGCAGACGGCCTACTTGATATTTGCAACATAAAAGATATGCATGTATTGCCACCCTTGATTGGGGAAAAGGTGGGAAAGGGAGGGAAAAGGAAAGTGCAACCGTCTCTCTCACTCATCGGACGAAATACAGCCATTAAAGACTACTTCACGTCGATCTTCTGTGAGAGGGTGGTACTTCCCCGGTCGAGTCGGCCTATATTCGAGCTTTAGTAACTGACCACAGCTAGGCTCTACCACGTCAGTTGGTAAGAAAATTGTCAAAAAACTTATATAACTACCTAAGAGCGTGGTCCAATCTTAGATGCTGTGGTCTGTCTCTTCTCGTTTGACGAGAGGCGATACGTTGAGGAACATCCGAAACACCCTGAAAAATATTAATTACTAATAAATAATTGACATTTATTTCATATTTGTATATATAGACATTAGATAAAAGTCTTCTAAATTACTCATTCTAACGCCAGGTGAAAAAAAATATTTCAGGACGGTAAAAAACCCTTTAATTTTAGAAATTATCCAAAGCATACAGAAAGACAACAAAATCCTACTAATATTATAATTGCGAAACTTTGTGAGTGTGTGTATGTTTGTTACTTCTTCACGCTCAAACGGCTGAACCGATTCTGATAAAATTTTGTATACAGGAAGCTGACGTCCAGGAATATACACATAGGCTACTTTACATCCCGGAAATCCCGGAACACCGCGGGGCGCAGCTAGTAATAGATAAAGTATTGACATGTCCATACAAATACATCATATAATTTAATTTTCTTATATGATATAATGTCATACCCCATCTTCATCCATTTCCTGGTTACAATTGGGAGGGTCTGAATACTTGTGGAGTAATTCGATAGCCAGGCGTTTACACATGTCTTGTTGGAAGAAAGCGTGCTGGAAAATATATATACATCATTATAATATGGAAAAATATAAAAAAAAATTAAAATAATCTCTATGGAACTGTCTTATATATTTATTCTTTATGGCAATACTCAGAAACCGTTATTTTTTATAACAAACATTGGACAGGTATAAAATATGCATGTATGATTCCATTGTGAATGAAGCTATAGCATTAAATAATAATGAATGAAATAATTTTTCTACTACATTAATCTTAGCATTTGTTTTTCATCAATATCTCAATGTATATCTTAATCCTCACTTTTTAAAAGTTTATAACAAAATGAAATCCGAAAATATTAGTTTCTTTTAAGTTTCCATAACCTTGTCCATGTGAGAAAGACGCCTTGCTCAGCAGTGGGCTTCTGATAGGCTGATGACAAGTTTCCATACAATACATAATATCAAATCTCACTTGTAAAAGCTTGTCAGCTGTGGGTCTCTTCTTGGGGTTCTTGGTGAGGGCCAGTTTGAGGAACGCGTGGAACAGTTGCGACCACCTCTCCCTCTCCTTAAGCTGTGGGGGTTTGAACCCCGACTTGGACATGAGGAATAACACCCTCATTGGATGCAGTTCAAACATCGGAGGCTGGAGTTCTGCTAGCTCTAAAAGAAGATATATATCTTTATGTATATATGTAATTCTTCTGTGAGTGTGCATGTCACTGAACTTCTCTCAAACGACCGGACCGATTTCGATGAAATTTTTTGTGTGTTCAAGGGGATCTGGGAGTGGTTTAGATACACAATTTTGTCCGCTGGACAATGGTTTTTTAATTAATTTTTAATTTATTAGTAGTTGTTGATACAAACGTTTTTTTTTTACATTAGATTTGACAACTAACTAATATGTCAATCATTCTGTCGCACTTCAAAACACGAAGATTTATGGCTTTAATAGGTAAACTCCAAATATATAAATAAAAAACGTAACAGATATTTCTTGATTATAGGGCGATACGAAGTTCGCCGGGTCTTCTAGTACATATATTTGTTACATTTTGGCCATCTTCTCAAACTTAAAGCCCAGCATATAACCCGATAAGCAATGTTAGTAATATTTCCAAACCAAATTCTTGTATGTGATGTCCAAAACTGGTTCTAATTATGATAAATTTATATTTTTAATCAACCTCAGATCTACATATTTACAATGTTCATAAATATATGATAGTAATACTGTGTATATATAAATCTTGCTACCAAAATCATATATATATATATATTAACATACCTATAGCTGTAATACCACACGCCCAAATATCACACAGTTGATTATAACCACCCTTCCTTTCAACCGCTGCCACCTGAACAAAAATAAAATCATTATACATATTATATATTTATAATATTATTCCACTATAATATCATAACTTTTAATATTATATACATACAATATACACAATTAAGTTAATAAAAAATTTAAGTTGTTTAAGTCAACTTATATATTTATTTATAATTCATGACTTTATTATATAAGTGATGACTTATAAAGCTATTTATATGTAAGTGATGACTTATAAAGCTGTTTATATAAGTACTTACTTCAGGTGCCATCCAATATGGTGTACCGATGAAGCTCTTCCTCTTATTGATAGTAGCAGTAATCTGTGCTGACACACCAAAGTCAGCGAGCTTCACATCACCGCACTCAGTTAAAAGTATATTGGCTCCCTTTATATCCCTGGAATATAGAAAAAGGTTTTTATTCCTAATATATTGTAGTATGTATGTTTATCAATTACAAAATAATGGCTGAACAGTGAACAGATCTGTATGTAATTTGGCATTATGACAATAACATGTTATGAAAAAGTAACTTTAATATTCTTTATTAATGAGTAAAATGTATTGTTATAGACTTATTTTTATTGTAAGTTATTAATTTATATATTTTTTTTCATGTATAGCATAATCACTTAAGATTCTAGTTTTGCTACGAGCTCTTGGATTCGATTTCCATCTAAATAGGTTTGTCTTAAATTATTTTTTGTTAATACTAAAAAATACGTGATAAAAACTAGCGTATAACCCATCACGCTCTTTCATGGAATGGTGGGTAAAACTTCAAAGCCATATTCAGATTTATATAATGTCTATTACTCTACTCATAAGTAAGAATATATTGTTATAGTTATGTACAGGCTCTGCTAGTGTACTTGATAGTTACCTATGCATCTTCCCCATACTGTGTAAGTATGATAGACCGGTTAAAGTCTCTTTACACATATAGGCTATCTGTAGTTCCGTCAATGGACCGGTCACGTGATAGATGTCCTTGGGTAAACAAAATTATTAACACATTAAAAAACCTCTATAGAATAATCACAGAAAAGGTGGCACTTGGCTTGGCGTTTATTTGTAATGTTCGGCCAAATGAGAAAAGACACATACACAAATAAGCGAAAACGCGTAGACGTGTTGTGATGCCAAGTGTGGATGTCATGTTTGCGCTATTTGGACTATATACAAATATTTGGACAAATACGGCGAATACGCTACCCCAAGTGAAGTGCCACCTTTAGAAAAATGACAATTAAAATGATATTTTTATTATACAGCCACGGGCAAAAGTACTAGGCACCCTACAGTAAGACAAGTTTTAGGGTGTTTTAGCATAGCGAGTGTAAATAAAACTGCATTTATGATTACAATGGTTTATTTTAAGAAAATAATTAATATTTTGTAGGTCCACCTTTTGACTTAATAACCGCAGCCACTCTTTTTGGCATTGACTCTACCAGCCTGAAACATTCTTCTCTTGATATATTTTTCCATTCCTGCTGTAACGCGGCCAATAGAGCTTGTTTATTGCTAATCGAGTGCCTGCGGATATTTTTCTTTAAAATGGACCAAATATGCTCAATCGGGTTGAGGTCTGGTGATTGTGGTGGCCAGTCCAAAAGATCAATATGATTTTCAGTAAACCACTTCGTGGTATGCGCGGACTTGTGGCAAGTGGCGTTGTCTTGCTGAAATTTCAGGCCATCGGTGTTTGTATCACCGAAAATTTGCGTTATCGACGTTGCTAGTGCTGTTTCCAGAACTTCAGTGTATTTAACACTATTCATTCGTCCCTCACATAACACCATTTCGCCCACTCCGTCGGCAGCCATGCAGCCCCAGATCATTATTGAGCCTCCACCATGCTTAACAGTGGGAACCACACATTCTGGGTTGTATACTTCGCCAACCCTTCGCCTAACATAAGTCACACCGGGTGTTCCAAACACCTATGCCAAACGAAAAAAAAACATTTATTTTCAAAGTTATTATTTTTCTTGCAGTACGTTATTTTAAAAACATTTATGTGTTTTAATATTGTACATAAAATAAATAACAATACCTCAAAGTTAGATTCGTCTGACCACAGTAAGTTGGACCAATCTTCCACTGACCAATCTCTATGTTTGAGTGCCCACTCCAACCGATTTTTCTTATTGTGTTCTGACAGCCACGGCTTCTTCCTTGCTTTACATCCTTTTAATCCAGCTTTAAGAAGTCTTCTTCTCACAGTATAAACACTCACTTAGCTGCCTTTTGCCTCAGATAATGCTGCAGCGAGCTCTGAAGTAGTTTTTTTCCTGTTTTGTAGAGACTGCCTAATCAACAATCGATCTTCCCGTTCAGTAGTAACTTTTCTTCTGCCTGTTCTTGGTCTATTTTCATGGGTGCCAGTCTCTTTGAAGCGATTTATAGCATATTGAACTGCACATCACGAGCACTTCACTTCTCGGGCTATTTTAACCTGAGACATGCCTTGTTCATGTAAAATCTTAATTCTTAGACGCTGTTCAGCATTAAGTTCAGATTTTTTCGGCATGATTAACACGTTAAATGTTAGTCTTTAGAATTGTGATAGGAATAGTTGCGTAGAAGACGTGTATGTTCACTGCAAGCACTGATAACACACTATAACCCGAAACGCAAAAAAAGCAAATTCGAAGAAACACCGCTTAGGAGCACACCTGGATGTCATAAATATTTTCTTTTATCTTAATTTGGTTAAAAATTGCCGCTAATACAATAGCTAAACCATAAAACACACACTTGACCGCTATCTAATGAGATAGTGACTAACAATAGGGGTGCCTAATACTTTTGCACGCAGCTGTATTAATTCAAACTAATACAAATGAATTATATGGTCGGGGATAGTGCAAATCCGCGTAACTAGCATTGTATAATTCCGCGTATCTACAGTGGAAGCAGATTATGAGAAGAAAGTTTGAGCTGAAATATTTTATATATTAACGACTTTTACGATAATTTTTATACAATTAGTAATCATTTAGTGTTTAATTTATTACTAGATACGCGGTATTATCCAATGGTAGTTTCGGATTTGCACTATACCCGACGATATAGAAGATTTTGTTGATTTAAATATGACTGAAAAATTTATGTCGTACTTGTAAACTGCCCCCTCCACAATACTCCATAGAAATCCATAGTTTATCTCTTCTCAAGTATGAGCCGTAGTAAGCCACTATGTTAGGATGCCGGCAGTCCTTCATCATCAAAATCTCTTGCTGAATTATGGCGAAGTCATCACCAGGCTCCAACTTTATCACCTTGATGGCTGCAAGCTCACCGCTACCGTTGAGACGTTTCGCCTTGAACAAATATTATAATGATTAAATTATACGGAACCATATATGTATGTATATACATCATTAGAAACTTATTTCGTCTAATAGGATAAAAGAGTTTCGTATTGATTTAAATAAAACTAATATTTCCGTGCAGAGATGTGCCAGTCATCAAGCTTGTAGCAAAGTAATCGAAACGTCGGGAGTATGTAGGTTTTAAACATAATAAAATACACGTTATAATTCGAAAATATTAGTTTCATTTAATTCTTCTATACTGCCAACTTTGACAATACATAATTTTTGACGTCCCCTATTTTTTCACGTAGTGAAAAACCACGGCAAATTAATTGAATTACAAATCACTCCCCTAAATCACTACACAACGCCCCCATTTCTTTCTGGGTCTCTTACCACCCTTCTTTTAGGCTTCAGCGCCTATAGGGGTCGTTATCAGGGAAAGGCAGATATCGAACCTGCTGATAAGTATATTATTACCCCAACCACGACTTTGATTAGTCTACTACATACAAATCCTTTTCTTCATTCATATATCATGTCATTTCATAGTATTAGCGTATATTATCAAACAAAAAATGAATGAGTAACGATTCGGAATTAGCATTTCGTTGCAAACTTGTGGTAGGGATATGTATTTGTCAAATTTATTATACACTGAAAGTATGCTTAGACATCATTGACAGATGAAGGAAAACATCGTGAGGAAACATGGACTTATAACTACAAATTATAAGTTTGAAATCGCCAACCCGTCTTACAAGCGTGGTGTTTAAGGTTCAGACCTTCTCCATGTGAAAAAAGGCCATTGCTCAGCAGTGGGCTCTGATAGGCTGATGATGATGATGTATACAATGTATTTCGATATTTTCAGGTGGTGGGTGCTTTTTATTTTATTAGTTTTCAGTAACAGACAACACAAAAACTTTGTGTCAAATAATCGTATGAATTACTAGCTTTTTTCCCGTGTCTTTACCCAATCGATGTATTTTTGCTCTCAAATGGTAAGCATAATGTAAAATTTGTTATAATAATGTAAAAATATATCTGATTTTTAAATCAAATACTCACTCATTTTGTTTGATCAAACTGCAAGTGAAGTACTAATGAGTGATAACACATCTTTAACAATGTATGTATGTATGTTTATTTTATTACGATACAAGTAGCGAATAACAAAACTTTACCTGGAATTAATAACTCTAATTAAATACTGGGAAATACTTAAAAGTAGGTGTCTAGGTCGGTATACACATTATGAAGGTAGTTTTAAATTGATTAACCGAAAAATTTCTGGGTCAAACTAACGACGGAGCGTTTACAGTTTTCAACAAAATTTAACCACACATACTTAGATGATAAATTGAGAAACGAAAAACGCATCGTTTGTAGTATGACAATGCAAATTGTGGTAAGCATACGAAGACATGACATTTCTTTTGACATAGAACGCGATAATAAAGACAGTATAGTATTTAATAGTAAATTTAATAAAATGTTTATGGATCATATATGAATTTTGATTATAAGGATTTATTAATTACGGAGATATAAAATTATTTTCAAGATTGAAAATCTATAAGTATAAAAGAATGTTGTGTTAGTTACACTGTTTATAACTCAAGAACGACTGTAGGGATATGGTTGAAAATTGGTGGAGAGATAGATTAGAACCAGGAGACGGACATAGGATAGTTTATTCTGTTCGATCGAAACAGAAAAAAAAATTAAATAAGCTCTAATATCTGGTTATTTACGGCCTCTAGGGCGGAATAAAGTTCGTCCGGTCAGATATACATATATTACTAAAGCCAAAATTAACGCGGACAAAGTCGCGGGCGAAAACTAGTTAATTATAAGGATATTAAAATGTCTAACTTATATTAACTTTATTGACGATACGAGTCTTAAAGATTATTAAATGTTATAGTTGTTTATATATATACTTATATATGTATATGAATGAATAACGGTTACAGTTCTCAATTTGGGTATCTACGTATTAATTAGCGAAACAGGCTTAAGTTCAATGACCCCGCCGTACCTCGGAACAGGCGAACAGATGAAATGTATGAAAAATATTTTTAATGCATGCACTTTATTGGCTTCTCGATGTCTAGACGACTAATGTAGGGTGATAAACTCGTGCTAACGTCCCCAAGTCTAGATTATGAGCTTTAAATTCTTTAATAATATATGTACATATATTTTAAAGTACTTACATAAATCCCTACTAATATTATATATGCGAAAGTAACTCTGTCTGTCTGTTTGCTACGCTTACACGCCTAAACCACAGAACTGATTTTAATGAAATTTGGTACAGACATAGAGTTGACCTTGAGAAAGAACATAGGATAGTTTTTATCACAGACTTTAGAAAGGTTCTCTTGGAAACGCGATAAAAGCGAACTCCACGCGGGCGAAGCTGCGGGAGGAAAGCTAGTATTGAATATAGACGACACTAAAAATTTATATTTAAATTAGTTTTAAACACGCGATGAAACATTTGCATGCGAATTTATGCTTTACTACCAACAATATAAGGTATAATTTGTGTTTTTTAGTTTTTCTAATACAACAAAGTAACATGCTAGCGAATTGAAGTCAAAACAACACAAAGGAATAATAAAATTACTTTTAAAAGAAATACATATACTTAAGTATAGCAATTATTTGAAATATTATAAATCACAATATATATTATATAACTAGCTGACCCGACAGACCTCGTACTGCCTCAATCGATAAATAAACAATTTTTATTAATTTTTTGGAGTTTACCTTTAAGGCATAAAACTCCGTATTCTGAAGTGCGACAGAATAATTGACATATTAGTTAATAGTTAGTTGTCAAATCTAACGTCAAAAAAAATGTTTGTATAGAAAATAGAAAAGGGCTGTTTTTAGGGTTTTCCCGGAAATGAATCAATTTTTTTCAGCTTTTAAACCTTCCCTAAACCTCCACGAACATTTCAAGACTAAGATAAGATAAATCCGTTCAGCCGTTCTCGAGTTTTAGCGAGACTAACGAACAGCAATTCATTTTTATATACTTATATAGATTTTTCATAAAAGTATCTAATTTGTAAATTACGAATTTATAATTTAAAAGAATGTTTCTCAAACAATAAAAACAAAGCAATTGTTATATACATATACGATAACATTTTAAATATTTTTTTATAAAAAGTTAATTTTATTGAATATTCGTAAACAAAAAGCAGGCAGTGAGGTCTAAAAAGCTTTTGAACGATTAATTATCACCCGAAACTAGAGAAAATAGGTCATAGCGTGCACTAAAATAACCCATGTAATGAAAAAATATAATTCTATAAAAATATAAATTTTAAAACAGTTTAAAATTTTACTAAATATATAAACACTATGATTATAATAGGATCTTACACTCGGAAGTTTTATTCATTTAAATGAAACTAATATTTTTTGGATATTTTATTTTTGTAAAAAACTACATACTCCCGACGTTTCGGTTACTTTTCAGCAATCATAATCACGTTCCGCGTTGTATATCCGAAATATTTAAACTTTGACTTTAAATTTAATATAAAAGTATGAAAAATAATATTCATAAAATATTGATATCCCATTAATATATACATATATGTATTTTATAGTAATCAGCAAGTACCCTTAGTGATACTCAATTGACAGTCTCCCTCGATACGTACACTGTAGGTTAAAAAAAGTTAGGGTTATGTTTCTCTGTGTAATACTATATTATTTTAATTAAAAATTATATATAAATTAGTTAGATAATAGAAACATTTACATATATTTATATATATTCATTAAGTTCAATTCATATTATTTATTATATTATATACATGTATTTAAAGGAAACTAATATTTTTCGGATATATTACGAGTGTGTTAGAAAATGTATTAAAATATAATATAAGAAAAGATAGATCTATATACATATTTCAAATAAAACATCTAATAACATTTTATTTACTGGACATATTATAATTTTACAAAATATCGTTTTTCGTATAGAGAAGCTATACAATAAAATATACTTATCTCGTCTATATAGTTTTTTCGGTAATTGTTTCTTCAAGAGTCGCTGCTCAATAGTTCGTGGCTTATTTTTGTGAGAAACTACATACTACCTACGTTAGCACGCGTAGTATATCTCAAAAATATTAGTTTCATTTAAATGAATACACTCTAAAGTCTTAGATTTAAATATAAATGTAATATTTTTCAAAGTGTTTTAAATCGTGTATATTTTAAAGTCTTGTTATTGTCAACCCTGTGGGAGGTCATTGTCACTATTAGTAGTCTTTCCCGCATCAAACAGCGCTTCTGTTATTTTCATATAACGCGTAGTATATAGGGCCTGGCTGGTTATACAATATTGAGACCCCTTTCGAAGTATAGACCTAGTATAGCACTTATGTGTTAGTTCGCTATAAGTATAGTATAAATATATTTTTCAATGATATTAAATGGTGTATTATTATCTTACTTGAAATATATCCATTCATTATTAGTTTTCCTAACTCCATATAATTATATGTATATATGTATAGTAAATTTTGTTTCATATCATCCAAATAATATTACTGTGTCCATGATTACATTAAAACCATTAATGTTTAGGTTTTCAATACAAAACATTAGAAAATCATCTCATAGATGATGATTAGGAATGCTCCACATAAAGATCACTAGCTTCTGCCCGCGACATCGTTCGTATAGTATTTTTATGTTATTCGGCTCAAAGAACTAATGTATGGTGTTTTATGTGACTTCATACAAGACACAACGGTGTAGTGAACACGAGATTCCGTGTACAGACTACAAACAGACAATTTCTAGTTTATAATTTATATATGTATACACTTTGATACTGTCATAAAATAAGATATATATTATACTAGCTGCGCCCCGCGGTGCTACCCGCGGATTTCCGGGATGTAAAGTAGCTTATGTATTATTCCTGGACGTCAGCTTGCTGTATACAAAATTTTATCAAG